TTTAATCTTAATCTATTTTTATTTAATCTTATTTCATTTTATCTTACTTTATTTAATCTTATTTAACTTTATCCTATTTTATTTTTATTTAATCTTATTTTATTGTTTTTTATTTAACGTAATTTGATTCAATTTTACTGTTATTGGTTTACCTTTTCAGTCTATCTTATTTTATCCAGTTTTTAGTTATTTTATGAATCTTAATTCTTATGTATGATCCTTTTTTAATGCTATACTTTTAGCATTATCATTTTATTCAACTTTAACAAAATCTTTTTCTCAGTTCTGAGTCACATCTTTGTGTCTTTCACTGCTTTATTCTTCATTTTATTATTTCATGAGGTTTAATTCTTAGTTTTAATGGATCTGTTTCTTAACGGTCAGTTACTGGCTTTGCTTTGTGTCTGTGGCTGCTGCCTCACACTTTGAGCATCACGCTGTGTTTCCACCTGGAAGGAAATGTGCGATAAAATAAAGTATTGCTTGCTTTTTGTTTGTACACTTTGCGCTGCACTTCTTGTATCAGAAGTGTTTTATGAATAAAGTTTATTATTTTATTATTACGAGAGAGATTATAGTCGTTTTATTAAAACAGTTTGATCAACACCTCTGACAGCCTCAACTCTGACCCAACACAGTTTGTATTTACTGCAGCAAAGTCAATGATTTGTCACATTTCAGGACATTTATTTATTTCAAGCAGCTGCTTCTTGTTTCAGCCCATCATCTCTCTCTCTGTCTCTCTGATGAATCAGCTGATAAAGCTCAGAGTCTGCTGGACTGTGTGGACGCTGCACTTCTTGCAGTGTGGAGGAGTTCCCGTGTCCGGCCTCCTGGCTCGCTCGCTGCATCATGACGTGGATCAGAGGTCCGTCTCTCTGCCAAATACCCGTCCAGACACTTGGCAGCGCCGCACATCTGACTGTGTTTCACTAAGACTGAGGAGGTGGAATTAAATTACAGCAGCTTCTCCTGCAGGAGGAAACGGTCACTTATCAACAGAGGAGAAAGAGGAGACACAGCTGGGAGAGATTTAAATGTTTTATTATTTTCTAAAGAATTTCATACAAAGATCAACAAGTGCTTGTTTATGTGATTCTGTTTATTGGGAGGAGGATCACAGCGTCCTGCGGCCCGTCAGTGCAATGTCATCAAGATCAGTTTGTCATTCTCAACATGAGTGTGTGTCCGAACTGACACATGTTCTGATGTTGTCTCTGTGTCATGTGTGTGAGGTCATCACATGTTGACAGTGACGCCCTTTGTTTCCATCAATTCTGCTTCCTCACGGCTCTAGTCGACGACCAGCGCGCTCCTCACTGTGGGGAACAACTCGAAGAAGCCCTGCAGGAGGAAGCAGACAGGAAGCAGGAGCAGCGTTTAAATACACACACACACACACACACACACACACACACACGAGTGAAAGGGAAAGAAAATAGAAAATAACTTCAGGGGCGAGAGAATGAAACCATTTAAATAAAATCAAAAACCAAAGAAGTTGAGTGTCATCAGGAGAAATTCACACTCAGTATTTAATCTGTGAATCACTCACAGAGACCTGATGAGATGTGACAACAATTTCCATCTGCAGAAAACGTGTGATGCAAAAGTGTCAGGAAACACGCTGATCATTTCCTTCCTCAAACATCTGCAGGAACCATTTAAAGAAATATGTTTGAGTCTAGCAGTCGCTGTCGATCAGCAAACGCTGTGGTGAACGTGCGGTTCAGTTTAGGAACAAAAACATTTGATAATGGTTTGAAAAAAGATGTTGTTTGGGCTTTAAATATCCAGCTTTGGGGGCACAACCTCCGGTGGAAATGCAGTGATGTCTCAGTAAAAAAACAATCGCTTGATGTTTGTACGGTGCCGAATAAACTGCTGGAAAAACAGTGACCATTCCCTACAAATTACCCAAGTTTAGGGGCTGAAAAGCTGCTGGAAACACAGTGACCGGTCCATAAAAATTATCCAATTTTAGGGTCCGAAAAGCCGCTTGAAAAACTGCCATGGGTTGCTATAAAAAAAACTAATGTAAGGGCTACAAAGCTGCAGGAAAACCAGTGGCTGTTGCCTACAAATTGCCCAATTTTAGGGGCTGAAAAGCCGCTGGAAACACAGCCTTGGTTTGCAAAAAAAAAAAAAACCTAATGTAAGGGATTAGAAGCTGCTGGAAAAACAGTGTCAGGTAACTAAAAAACACATTGGGGGCTGAAAAGCCGCAGGAAAAACAGCGACTGGTCCCTAAAAATGACCTGGGTTTGAGGGCTGAAAAACTGCTGGACTAACAGCCGTGGGTTGCAAAAACCCCCAATGTTTAAGGGATAAAAATCTGCTGAAAAAACAATGGCAGAAAAATGACAGGAAAAACAGCAACTGGTCCCTAAATGTACCTGGGTTTGGGGGCTAGAAAGCTGCATGAAAAACAGCTATGAGTTGCTAAAAAAACAACAACAACCCTATGTTAAAGGGGTAAAAAGACGCCGGAAGAAAAGTGACAGTTCCCTAAAAATTACCCACATTTAGGGGGCTGAAAAATCCCTGGAAAACTGCCAGGGGTTAATAAGAAACCCCCGTGTTTAAAGGGTAAAAATATGCTGGAAAAACAGTGATAGTTTCCTAAAAAATTACCCAGGTTTGGGGGCTGAAAAGCCGCCTGAAAAATAGCCTCCGGTTGCAAAAATAACTCCTCATGTAAGGGCTAAAAAGCTGCTGCAAAAACATCAACTAGTCCCTAAAAATGACCTAATTTTAGGAACTTTAAAGTCGCTGGAAAAACTGCCATGTGTTGCTAAAACACCCAACGTCTAAGGGATAAAAACCTGCTAGAAAAACAATGAAAGGTTACTAAAAATGTTTGGGGGCTGAAAAGCTGCTGGAAAAACGGCTGTTGGTTGCTATGATGCTAAGATGCTTAAGGGGTAAAAAGACGCTGGAAAACCAGTTAAAGTTCCCTAAAAATTAACCCACGTTAGGGGGCTGGATAAACTGCCAAGGGTTCCTACAAAAAAGGCTCATTAAGGGCTAACAAGCTGCTGGAAATAGAGCAACCAGTCCCTAAAGATGACCTGGGTTTGGAGGCTGGAAAGCTGCAGGAAAAACAGCAACTGGTCCCTAAAATGTTTAGAGGCTGGAAAAACAGCTATGGGTTGCTAAAAAAAAAAACTGAATGCTAAAAGGCTTCAGGAAAAACAGTGAGTTCCCTAAAAAATTACCCATGTTTAGGGGCTACAAAGCCGTGGGAAAAACTGCCATGGGTTGCTAAATCCCCCGTTGTTTAAGGGATAGAAATCTGCTGGAAAACCAATGAAAGGTTACTTAAACATGCACACGTTAGGGGGCTGAAAAGCCGCTGGATAAACGACTGTTGGTTGCTAAAAATAAACATGTTGAAGGAGTAAAAAGACGCTGGAAAAATAGCAACAGTTCCCTAAAAATTACACACGTTTGGAGTTTGTAAAGTCGCTGGAAAAACTGCCATAGGTTGCGGGAAAAAACAACAATGTTTAAGTGGTGAAAAGCTGCTGGAAATACAGCGACCGGTCCCTAAAAATTACCCACGTTGAGAGGCTGGAAAAACAGCCATGGGTTGCTAAAAACAACAACGTCTCAGGGGTAAAAAGAAGCTGGAAGAATAGTGACAGGTCACCTAAAAACACCCACGTTTAGGAGCTGAAAATCTGCTGGAATAACAGCGACAGTATCTTTAAAATGACCCATGTTTAACTGCGAATGTCTTAAATGATTAACATAGAAAATATTAAAAGATACAAAAAAATGTCCGTCACAAGCTCCCGGAGCCACGGTGATGAATAGTTTTGGAACGAAAGTCAAAATATATTCAGTTTATGATGAAATCAAACAGGAGAAACAGCAAATCCTGTCGTTACAGAGACTTTAAAATCAAAAATGTGGTTATTGTGTCAGACGCTCTGTCAGAGGTGTTGATTCAACTCTTTGGTCGATTCGGAGTTTTGTTTTCATTCGACTGAACACAGACGAGACGTGTGCGTTACCTTGAAGAGGGTGGTGCTCTGCAGGACGCTGGAGGTGCAGCACATCTCTCTGATGGAGTGCATGGACAGCTGCGGAGCGCCGATGTCCACCACGGGGACGCCGAGGCGGGCGGCCAGGATGGGGCCGATGGTGGTTCCACAGGGGCTGTCGTTACGCACCATCACGTCCTGCAGGGGGAGGGGTCACAGGTCAGTGTGTCTGCCTCCTAGTGGCCATTAGGAGGAACATGCGAGCACATGAACTTTAATCTGCCGCCACATGACTGAGAGTATTAAACTCTACAGTAACTTGCTGGAGCTGCTCCGTTATTAAACCTCAGCTGAGCTTATCAGCGGCGGCGAGGCAATCTGTGTCGTGACTCCTCCGCAGCCGTGGAGACAGAAATGTATTTCCACCTCTGTTTATAATCACACTTGATTGACTGCTCTTGTTTTCGTCCCTGTGTCTTTATTTCACACATGGATTCTTCCCTCTCCCTCTCGCCGTCGTCCTGGAGCGGCTCGCCACGTTGCTAGGAGATCTGTGCTCGCTGCCGAGTGACACACACACACACGCACACACAGACATGAGGAGCTGCTGAGCCTCCGTCTGCAAACAATGCATCCATAACAACCCACACACACACACACACACACACACACACACACACACTGTACCTGCAGAGGCACGCCGACCCTGCTGGCGACCTCTCTGACCACGGAGGCGGTGACAGCTGTGGTGGCGTAGCGCTGGTTGCTGTTGAACTTTAACACCGGGCCCTGAAAGACAAACAATGTATTGTGTGTTTGTGTTTTGTCGTTTGTAAACGAGTGAATAAATGAACTCATGTTTTCACCTTGTGGAAAGAAGGACGGTGGTTCTCCTCGTGCTTCTCCCTGAGAGAAGGGAAATCAATACGTTTGATTGGAAAATTGGAAAACACACAAAACAGATACTGTGTGTGTGTGTGTGTGTGTGTGTGTGTGTGTGTGGGCACTGACTGGTAGTTTGGGTGCACGGCGTGCGCCATGTCAGCGCTGATCATGAAGGACAGCGGCGCAGCCTGCTGGAAGGCGGTGAGGTTGGAGGGGGAGGAGGCGAGGCGGCTGAGGATGAGCTCCGTCAGGTTGGACTGAGCTCCCTGAGCGCTCTCTGACCCCACCTACAGGACACACACACACACACACACACACACACACGATGTCACAGGAGCTCAGACAAAGAACATACAGGTGTTTATTTCCAGTGTGTCGTCACCTCTTCGTTGTCGTACAGTGTGATCATGCGCACGTTGGGATCTTTGGCCAGAGAGTCTCCAGAGCACGACTCCATCAGCCCCTGAGAGACGACAGAGCGCGACAGGAAGGAGGAAGTGAGGGTGTGAGAAGAACCTCACTCTGAAACGTCAAGCTAGGAGCGACTACAAACTACAAACGTTTCAGATGTGTAACACTGCTGCTGAGAGTTTCAATAAAAACAAGAAAACAGACGAAAGCTCTGATGAACAAAGAGAAAGGTGCAGTGTGACCTGCAGGGCGCAGTAGCAGCTGTGGAGGTTGTCCAGACGAGGGGAGTAAATGAACTCCTCATACACACCTCCCAACGCCTGCAGAGGAAGAGGAGAAGAAGAACAGGATGCAGCGTTAAAGTCTTTGTCTGAGAGGGAAATATATTTACTTTAAACTTCACATTTTAAAGTAAAATATTGTGATTTGATTTTTTTTTATTTTACAAGGAAATATTGTGATTTCAACTTTACATATCAGAGGAAACACTGTGCATTTGATTTCACATTTAAAAAAGAAATATCATGCATTTAAGTTAACTTTTAAAAAAGAAATATTGTGTATTAAATTTTACATTTAAGAGGGGAATATCATGCATTTAAGTTAACATTTAAAAAAGAAATATTGTGTATTAAATTTTACATTTAAGAGGGGAATATCATGCATTTAAGTTAACATTTAGAGTGAAATATTGTGCTTTACACTTATTAGAGGGAAATACTGTGCATTTAATTTTACATTTTAGAGGGAAATATTGTGCATTTAATTTTACATTTAAAAAATAAATATTGTGCATTTAATTTCACATTTTAGAGGGAAATAATGTGCATTTAATTTTACATTTAAAAAATAAATATTGTGCATTTAATTTTACAAATAAATATTGTGCATTTAATTTCACATTTTAGAGGGAAATAATGTGCATTTAATCTTACATTTAAAAAATAAATATTGTGCATTTAATTTCACATTTTAGAGGGAAATAATGTGCATTTAATTTTACATTTAAAAAATAAATATTGTGCATTTAATTT